AAGCAGGCCTTTGATAGGGTCCCGCGGCATCTGCTGTGGCAGAAGCTGGAGAGCGCCGGCCTGGGTGGCTGGGCGCTGCGGGCGGTGCAGGCCCTTTATGCGACGGTTCCCATGTGCGTGCGGGTGCCTGGTGGGTACACACCCACATTTCAGGCCACCTCAGGGGTGAAGCAGGGCTGCCCCTTGAGCCCTATATTGTTCGGTCTGTTCCTGGATGACTTCGAGTCCGGGCTGGTGCAACAGGCTGCGGCCGCGGCTCTGCCTCGCTGGCAGAGCGGGGAGTGCGTGCCGCCATTATTTTACGCTGATGACCAGGCCTTGCTGGCCACCACGCCGGCAGGCCTGCGTTTCCAGCACTGGCAGGGCTGCTGCCACGGAGGAGCGGTTCCGCTACGGCGGCAATGAGGTGGAAACCGTCCCCACCTTCAGATACCTCGGCGTGCACCTGCACTGCCGGCAGGCCTTTGCCTCGGCGGCATCGTATCGGGCGGAGGCTGGGCGGCGCGCGATGCACCTGCTGCGTCGCCGCCTGGCCGAGAATGGGTTGCAGGACCCCCTGCTCAGCATGCGTGCGTTCAAGTCTTACGTCCTGCCGACGTTGTCGTACGGGGCAGAGATCTGGGCGCCGCAGCTGATTCTGCAGGGCAGGACGGCATGCGAGCGGGTACCTGCGAGGGCTGCTGGGTGTGCGGGACAGCACCCCAGCCCTCATTGTGCTGGCAGAGACGGGGCAGCTGCCGCTGCCCGCCTACTGGACCTTGCAGGTTGCACGCTTTGTGAGCAACCTGCAGGCTATGGGCGGCGAGCGGGTCGCCCGTCTTGCCATGCTGGATAGCGTTGCGCTGGCTGCCGACACGGACACAGGGCTGCCACTGGCCCGGCAGCCCTGGGCAGCGCAGGTTAGCCGCGTTCTCGCGGCGGCCGGCGCCCCCTGCGACTTGACTGCTGACGAGGGGGTTGCCATACCTGAATTGGCGGAAGCGCTCCTGGAGCGCCATGTTGCCTCGTACACGCATGCATCCGTGAAGGTGCAGCGGTACATTGAGGACGTGTGGGGGGGCAGCATCTCTGCGGAGGCCTACACGCCTGCGTCGTTC